GGTCGTGCCCTCTCATTGCGCAGGCGCGACGTCTCGCCGGTGGCCAGGGAACCTGTGGCGCGGTGAGGCCTCACTGCTGAGGCGTGGCGCGAGGTGTGAGCTGGGGAGTGGGCTTGTCCCGTTCGGTTCCCAGGATGGGGACACACCTCCGGACCCCAGTCCCGCACCCACGGCCGTCACTGAGCTGGCTTAGTTTTCTAGACTCTAAAAGAGGCGGTCTCTGCGGTTTGCCTCAGAGGTGCCTCAGGAGGCGGTCACTCCGGACAGGACGAGCCTGCGGGTCCCAGCGGGGTGGAGCGCCCTGGGCTCGCTGGCTCCCTGCTGCCTGCCGTGCACCGCACCGGGATGCTGGACGTTGTCCCCACCCCCGGGAAGCCCTCCAGGCAGGCCTCAGCCACCTCCGAGGCAACCCTAAATATTCTTTGGATTTGAGATTTGAGCTCAACTCCACCCTGCCTCCGCCCCTTCGTGGCCGGACAACCTTGGGGACCTACGGGGCCTTTCTCCTGCAAAAACTGAGCAGTGAAGCTTCCCGCACGGAGCTAGAGGTTTAAACCCGATGATCCCCTTCAAGTTCTTAGCAGGGAGCCCGGCGGAGCAAGCGCCGGTCCCTAACAATAGCGCGGCTCGGGGGTGCGCCTTCGTGGAGGGGAGTCACACTTCCAGGCCACCCTCTCTAGAACGTTCCCCAGCGCGTCGCGTCTCCTTTCCCACCTGAGTTTCGTGCTGCTCTTCCCTCTATCTGGAAGTCTCTCCTCTAGTTATTGGTATACTTGTTGACCACCCCCATTTTTCGGACAGGCTAGGGGTCCCAGCCCGCTGGGGTGGCTTCAGCGAACGCTCCAGTTTGTGGCCCAGCAGAGGAGGGCCTGGCCTCCCGGATTAGGTCCTTAGACCTAGAGCTTCTCTAGGGGCTGCACCCCCACCCACCTTCCATGCACCCTTCCTTTGTATTTGCGTCTCTGGCAGCCACAGCCCCTGTGACTCAGGCTGGATCCTTGTTAAAGGCCCCCAGCTTGTCCCCAGGAGGCCTGGGGAAGCAAGCAGGCCCCTCTCCAGCTGCCAGCCCCTCCTGCAGGAGCCTGGGCCCCAGGGCTTCTTCCAGCTGCCCAGTCTCCAAAGCCTAATCTGCAATGCCCTAAAAATAAATATTTTTTTAATTTGAAAATATACTTCCAATGGATATTTCACTCTGTGGAGGGACTATAACATGAAGTTAAGTACAGAGAATTGGTAAGAGCGTGGGCAGTGAAATAAGGAAAACTAGGGCTGTATCCTGCTTTGCCGCTCGAGCTGTGCTGTAATAAGCAAGTTGCTTTATGTCTCTGGATCTCTTTCCATGTGGAGAGATTAGTTCCTACCTCCTAGGGCAGGAGCACTAAATAAGAAAACGAATGTGAGGGGCACCTGGGTGGCTCAGTCAGTTAAGAATGGATTTCGGCTCAGGTCATGATCTAACGGTTGGTGAATTTGAGCCCTGTGTCAGGCTCCTTGCTGATGGTGCAGAGCCTGCTTGGGATTCCCTCTCTCTCTCTCTCTTTCTCTCTCTCAAAAAAAAAAATTTTTTTTAAAAGAAAGAAAATGAATATGAACAGCTTACCTCAAGGCTGAGCAAGTATACAGTAGGAGTTTACTCATTGTTTCATAATAACAGTAACATTCTGTCAACTGTATAGTGTTTTAGATTTCACAACGGCTGCCTGGGCCAAAGGGAAGTTCCTGGTGGAGAGGGACCACAAGTTTTCAGACCAAAGAACTTGGCTGGGGCTCCGGCCTGAGGAAGCCCTCCAACCCGTGCGCCCAGGGGTGGATTCCCCGCGTCCGGCCCAAATTCAGGTGAGTGCCGGCTTGAGCCCTGCGCCCCCGTGTGTCCCTTCGCCGCAACAGCATCGTCACCCAGACTCGCAGGGAAGAGTCACCCCTTGTCTGGGAAGCCACCTCAGAGATGGGGCCACAAAACAGGAATAACAACGTGACTTAAGAAAAGCAAGGAAATGATGGCCCCACGAGCAAACACGGCTACCCTAATGGAGAAGAGATTACGAGGGTGCTTCTGGGGAGGTGGCTACGTTGTTTCTTGATCTTGGTGCCAGCAGCAGTAGCTGGATTTTGTTTAAGTTTATGTATTTATTTTGGGAGAGAGAGCAGTTAGCAGAGGAGGGGCAGAGAGAGAGAATCCCAACAAGGTCCACGCTGTCACTGCAGACACCGACACAGGGGCTCAATCCCACAAATTGTGAGATCATGACTTGAGCCAAAATCGACATTCGGACCTTCAACCGACTGAGCCCCTCAGGCACTCCAGTAGCTGTTTGTTTTATGAGTATTTGTTATATGTATCTGTCCGCTGCACGCTAGGGTTTGCCCTACTTCACACTGGTATAGCTTTTAATAAACTGGCAGGTGAGTGGAGAGAGGGGGTTAACAGAGGTCAGCTTTGCACTGTGCAAGTGCCTAGGGGTGCCTGCAAAGGTGTCCTAGAGGGAGCCAGCGCAGGGATCCAGGCTAAAGGGCTGTCAGGTGGGGGGGCCGAGAGGGTGCCCTGAGGGGACTTCAGCACAGACGCGGGTTCAGAAGGAGCCTGCCCCCACCTCCAGCTGTCCTCCACAAAGTCCTACCCCGGCAGGTGCTGCTTTGAGCAGCTGGCTGCGGTCTATTGACAGGCTTTGCCATTTTAGGCGATACACTTCCTGGGCCTCTGCCTTGCACTTTCAACACCCAGCTGTCACCTTGCTCTGGGCCCTTAGCCCTGACGCCTGGAAGTTGTTCTTCTGCATAGAAGCTGGACTGCCATGTCCCCTCACATCTAGGAGCAAAGGTTACCCGAGGCTCGGGCTCCATCAGGGGCTCTCTCGGTCCCCGAGTGGTCCATTTGCTCTCAGGCCAGCCTGGCCTGGGTGGGGCTGGGGTGACTTGAGGGAACTGGATGCCTGGGGTGGGGGTAGCGGCATTGCCAGGGCCACGGGATGCCCAACTGGGTTCAGCCCTGGCACTGAGCAGCATCAAGCTGGCGCAAGGCCCCAGGCTGGCTGGCATTTTCCATGGGCCCATGCCAGCACGCAGGCAGCCTGGCAGTGGCTGTGGGTACCGGCATTCCCTTTGGCAGTAGCCCAGCGGGCACTCAGCCTGTACCTCCTGCACGGCCCCTCCTGGCCTGTGTCTACCTCATCCTGGGCCAAGCTCCCCTGGCACCCTATGGGGCGAGCCTTGTGCCTGGGTCAGTGTAGGGGCCCTTAGCTATACGGGCTCTGAAGCAGACACCTTGGGCCTAGACCGGCATAGGGCAGACAGAGCAATGCAGTGTCTGGGGTATGTGGGTCTGCTGCCCACCCAGCAGCGTGTGCTGTGACGGAGTGGAGGACTGGACCCAAGGAGGCCTGCAGACTGCCAGGCTTCGAATCACGGGGCCACTGCTTAGGAGTTATAGGATCTGGGCTAAATCCCTTCTCTCTGCCCATTTCCCCACTTGTAAAATGGGGAAGTAGCTCCCCTCAATTGCCCTGACATGGTGGAACCTTTCCTTTTAGAGGAGAGAGAACAGACTCAGGGAGATTGGAGTCTTGCTCCAGCTCCCCGGCTGTACCGGGGCACTGGGCTGCAGGGACCCCGTGGGAACAGAGGGGCCTTGTGCGTGTGGAGGGGGGAAGTGGGTGCCAGGGGCATGGCCATATGTGTGCATGGGAGCATGTGGGCAGGAGAGAAGGCAAAGAGGAAGGTGAGGCACAGGCACATCTCAGTGCTGGGGGTACTCCAGGGGTGTACCTCGTAAAAGCCCCGCCGTCCACTGAGGCTGGAGCTGGCTCCAGTGTGTATAGTGGTCTCAAAAGCCTTACAGCAAAAAGACCACTGTGTTTCCCGCTCCCCACTGCAGCCCCTCTCTGGGCCCCCACCCTGGCCCACTGTCCTCCTTAGCCAGAGGTGCCAAAAGGGACTGGCTGGGCAGGGGCCAGACCTTCAGACAGACAGGGTGTGGGGCCTTCTGGACTAGGACCCAGGGGGCCTGAGTCACTGCTGTCCCCAGCCAGCTCAGTGGGGTTCACTCCTGGCACTTCCCAGGTCTGTCTGTCCTGTCTTCCTGTGCTTGGCTCCCCACCAGGTCCACACATCCCAGCCTGGGCTCCACCCCAGGCCCACTCCCTAGAAACAGAGCGCTAACTGGCCCCTGGCACCCTTCTGGCGGTCCTGTGCCCATTCCACCTCAAGCAGTGTCCCCCACCCCTGTCAGCACCCCCAGGGGTGGAGTCATGGCTGCTGGAGCTGGCCAGGAGACAGGGGTGAAGCTGAGAGGGCCTCGTGCAGCGGGTGGGCCCCCACTGGGCCTTCAAGGAACAGTGAGGATCCCTGGACAGACTCCCTGGGTATCACTACCTCCTGTAGAAGGGAGGCAGCCTCTGGTGCCTTGTATGTGCAGCCTCTCGTGGAGACCAAGGGCCACCTCCTGCTGCGGTCCCCGAGTCTCCAGGGTTAGACAGGCAAAGGGCCTGGCTCGCCCTGTGGGCAAGCGGGCTGTCCTAGTCCCTGCACTGTTGCCTCTCCACACGCCTCGGGAACGCTGTGGTCTCTGCCCCCAGCTCTGTGCAGCACAGTAACTCATGCGGAGTCTCCCCTGCCTGCCACCCCCACATTTCTGGGCCTGGCTTTCCCTCCTCTCTCTGCCTGTATTAGGGCTAGGCCGGGGGTGCCTGCCTGCCCCTCGCCAGCTGCTGGGTGGGAATCTGAACCCCGGAGGCCTGGCGCCGGGGCCCGACCCTGACGGGTGGTGGAGCCCCAGGGGCCAGGTGGGGCCTGTCCTGGCTGTCAGCACCCATGATGGATGAGGGGTGGGGCAGGGAGAAGGCGAGGGCTTGGAGTCATGCCACAGAGAGCGGTGGGAGCTCGCCCCCTGGGGTCTGTCAGCAGAGCCTCTGCCACGCACAGCTGGGGGGCCTGGGTGAGAGCCCCACCCAGCAGGCATGTTTAAAGGCCCAAAGAATGTGTGCCCTCCTATTCCACTCGGCATCATGGGCACCTGGGCCTTCCCCGCAGCCCTTTTCCTGCTCTGCCTGACTTCTGAAAGCCTGCAAGGCGGTGAGGGTGGAAGATGGGCAGCTGAGGTCGCTGAGCTTGGGTTTGGGGGGCCTAGGCACAGTCCTGGGCCAGTGCTGGGGCTCCGGAGAGGGAGGTCTGAGTGGGTGAAGTCTGTCCTGGGCAGGGTTCAGGGATAGATGCCTGGGTCCTGTTCTTTCTCCATCTCTCGAGTCCGCACCCTGAGTCAGCACCTCCTTGCTCCCCAGGGCTACCTCCATTGTCTCCGGGCCTAGGGAAAGGTAAGTGGTCCCTCCTGGCATGGGGATCAAGGAAGAGGGCCTGGGTCTCTCCTCCAGGGGTCTCGGAGCTCTCTGGTGGGGGGAGAGCCCTAGATGTTCCCTACCTAGTTCTGAGATCCAGATGTGGGCCCCAAGAGGGCACACAGTCCCTCCCTGTCTTCATAGCACAGTCTTGTCCATGGTCAGCTCAAGTGCATGGAGCCAAGACACCCCACACCTTTGGAACAGGAATGAGATGGGGCGTGAGAACATCCCAGAGAAGGGGCTTGGAACCAGGTCTTCAAGGGGGGCAAGCTGGGACAGGGAAGTGGAAGCACAGCCTGGCAGTAAGACAGGCCAGAGGCCTGGAGGTGGGGTGAGGGGAGAAGACAAAGGGGCCCAGGGACTGTGGGAGAAGGGGAGGCAGAGTGTCACGGAAGGGTTTTCACTCCAGGGACCTGTGGGGTCTTAAGGGTGGGAGAAGGGGCTCCCTGCTGAGACCAGATGCACCTGAGATGCAGGATGGGAAGACAAGGAAGTGGGGCACCAAGAGCATGAGATTTCCAGGAAGGGAGGCATCCAGAGACTTCAGAGTCCGAATGGAGGGTAGAGGCGGACATGCCCCTGCGAAAGGTGCAGGGGATCTGCCCCCAGGGGTACAGCCCGAATACCTCCCTCCATGCCCCTGCTGCTGGCTCCTCACCTGGCTCTGTCCTTGCCCCTCCCTCAGAAGGGAAACTGAGGCTGAGAGAGGTTCCACTCTTGCTTGCAGAGCGGGAGGCTTGGCGTTCAGGTTCAGACCTTTTCCCCCTCCTAAGTTCACCCCCTTCTCCTCAACCCACAGGCTTAGGGAGCCCCAATGGCTACAGATCAGGTAAAGCTGGCTGAGAGGGTGGGCAGGGTGGGAGCAGCTATGTCCTCTGAACAAGCTCTTGGCCCCTCCTGGCCCCCCCCCCAGGCTCAACTTCTTATTTCCCCCACTCAGGCTACGGTCCCCCCAGTGGCCTGGGAGCAGGTGAGAGATGAACAAGTGGGATTTTGGGGGGAGAAGCAGCTGCCTCAAAATATGTGGGAACAGTTCTAACCCCCACCCTCACCCCAGGTAGAGAAGCAAACCAGGAACCCCTTGTGGCAGGTGTAGGGCTCCTCCTTTCCCTCCTGCATACATTTCCCCCCCAGGAATCCATCAAGACTGCTCTGGTGCCATCTCACCCGTGGACCCTGCCCTGGGCGCCCCCAGTCTTTCCTCTCCCTGCGTGTTCATGCTGCCCCCGCTGAGCTCCACTCCGGGGCGAGCAAGCCTGGCTCACTGCGTGTCCTCTGGGCCAGCTGGGAGTGGGAAGAGGGGAGTGGGCTCCAAGGCCCCCTTCCTGTGCACCAGCGATGCTGTCCACCCTCTCTGGGTTGGACTGACTGGAGCTGAGTTCCCATAGGCCTGCTCAGAATGACTGGTCGGAGGGAGCAGGGGCCCTGGGAGACCCTGAGGAAGAGGATCCTGGGTCCCTCATCTGTGCCCTGGGTCACCCCTGGCTTCAGTGGGGATGTTCAGCCTCGGAAGCCGGTGGGCCCTCACCAGCCCCAGCTGTGTCTCCCCACCTTTGTCTCACACCCGTGTCTCCATCTGTCCCTCCAGGATTTGGGAACGGGAATGGCCTGGGAGCCCAGCCAGGTGAGACTGCTGGGTTCACGGGGATTGGTTTTCTCTGCCTCCCTACTCGGCCCTGGGGGAAGGGCCAGGATTTTTTAAGGATTGAGGGGGCAGATAGGGAGCCTTCTGATTTGCTGTTTCTGGCTGGATCTCAGGGCCTTGTACCCCTACCCCAGCTAGGGCCCAACCTCCCCAGTTCATCCCTCCCTCTCCTGATGGGCCCTCCAGCTAAGAATGGCTACAGAAAAGGTAGAGGTGGGCCCAGCGTGATTGGGAGCCAGGGGCAGGATTCTAGAGGCACTCCTGAAATGGGATCCGAGAGCCTCACTTGATCGCCATCTCTGTCCCAGGCATTGGAGGGGGTGTGAAACCCCAGAAGCCAGGTGAGCCCCCCACCCTGTCTCTCCCCATTTCTGCCTTGCCCCCCCCGCCCAATTATTCCCTTATTTATTCCTGACCCCCTCCTGCCCTGTCTCCTCAGGGTTTGGGAACGGAAATGGGCTGGCAGCAGGGGCCTTTCCAGGTGTGGTCGCCCAGCCAGGTATGGGGGAGAAGAGGGATAGGGCTGATATGGGGTTGATGAGGCTGGGTCACCATCAGGAGTGTCTTCTCCCTGGGTCCCCCAAGCAGAAGTGGTGACTTACTGGAGGTGGAGGAGGACCATAGAGTTTCTGATGTCTGGCTTGGGGAGGGGACAAGGGCACTCTTGCTTCACCCCCACCTCAGCTGGGACCCCAGAAGCCCCTGCCTCCCCCGCAGCTCAGCATAGCTATGGAGCCCCAGGAAGAGGCTGGGTCGCTGGGATCCTCTCATCTACCACATCTTTCTCCCCAGGTTTTGGAGGTGGTGTGAAACCCCAGAAGCCAGGTGAGACACCCCTCCCCCCATGCCCACCCTTTTGTCCACATGGCTCTCTGTCTGGCTCCCTTTGAAGCCCAGTCCCCTCATTCCATCTGGCTCTGTGTCCCCAGCATATGGAAATGGACTGGTTGCTGGTGCCTTCCTGGGGCTCGGAGCCCAGCCAGGTGAGGACGGAGCCCTGGGAGGGAAAGGGGGCACAGGTAGAGCTGGAACCGGGGAATGAGTAGGGGAGAAAGTTGTGGGGAGAGGCTCAGCCTCTGTCTCTCCCCAGGCCTGTGAGGGGGATGCAACCTCAGAAGCCAGGGGAGGGGAGAGTAGCCCTCTCTACATGTCCCCAGCTTGGGCGCTGTCACCCTCTTAGGGGCTGCGCCCCTCACTGGGCTGCTGCTGCCACTCCTGTGGCATGAGCCGTGGTCTCGGGGAAGGCCTTTCAGACTTCCAGGCCCTTCTCAGGGCATGCTTCCTGCAAAGAACAATTGAGGGACACAGAGGTCCTGGGTGAGGGCAGCATAGAAGGCGGTGAGCCCACCCCCAGCAGCCACACTGGCCCAGCTCCAGCCCTGCCCTCCCTCTCTCCACAGGCCCTGTGGTTCAGGGACCAGGTAGGGGTGGGGGCCGGGAGCATATGTGTGTGTGTGGGGGGTGTGGTTCAAGGGAGCTCCAGGCTCCTTCACCTGGTCCCTGACCCTTTCTCAGGAGTTGGAGGGGGTGTGAAACCACAAAAGCCAGGTGAGCTGCACCGTGTCCCTATGTTCCAGTCTCCTTTCACCTGGCCTCCCAGCATCCCCTCACTCCCTCTTGCTCCTTCCTAGGGTTCGGCACTGGGAATGGGATGGGAGTTGGAGCCCAGCCAGGTGAGGGCGCCTGGGCTAAGCTGAGGCACTGAGGAAGAGCTAGGGGAGGTCAGGGGGGGGGGGGGGGGGGGGGGGGGGGGGGGGGCAGAAAATTGATTGCTGGGGGAAGAATGGGGTGGAGTGACGTCCATATGTGGCTCCAAGGCTCCAAATCGATCTCGCAGCTCAGAGTGGCTTTGGGCCTGGGATAGTGAGACGGGAGAGGTTGAAGCTGGGAGCCGGGGCTGGGCTTCTGGGTCCCTCATCTGCTAGCCTCTCCCCCAGGCTTTGGCGGGGGCAGAAAACCACAGAAGCCAGGTGAGCCCTGGTTTGTCTCCCTGTCAGGTAGCTCTGTCACGTTCCACATCCTTCTTACCCCCTCTTGTTCTGTCTCCCCAGGGTTCGGGAATGGGAATGGGCTGGGAGGCGGTGCCTTCCCAGGAGCAGGAGCACAACCAGGTGAGGGCCTGGAGCCATGAGTGTGGGGGTCCCTGAGGTGGCCCAGCCGTAGTTATGATTCGGGGGCCTGACCCTCATTCTGATGGAGGAGGAGGGGTCAGGCAGACACACAGACAGCCCCCCCCAATCTTCCCCATGCCCAGGGTAGGGGATGGCAGGGGGACTAAAGCCACAGAACCCACATGAGACCCACATGCCACCACCTCCCCCAGCCAGTGTGGCAGACAGCCAGGGGCTAGCCACGTGGGGGACAGGCCCCTCCAGAGCCTGAGCTGTGCTGGGAGAGGACCAGAAAGGAGCATCAATGCAACAGAGGCCAGGGTGCCCACCGGCAGGGAACCCGGAGCATTTGGGGAAGACGAGGCAAAGGCCAGGGAGAAGACTGCTGGCTGGGGCCTACTGAAACTTGTGGGTGCTTGAGCTGGGGCCTCCAGGAGGGGATGAGAGAGGTACAGGCCGTGGGGACAGCTCACAGGGCCAGGCAGCAGGAACGCACACTGAACGCCTGTGCTTTGGTGAGAGGAAGCGCTGTCAGAGTACCTTCCTGGCTGGTTAACGCACATGGTGGCAGTGATGCCCAACCAGATGGGACCCAAGCAGTGGGGTGACATTCAGGCTCCCCAGGAGGTTGGGCCCCAAGGGGAGGTCAGGGACTCAACGGGGTGGGTGTGGCAGTGAATTTAGAGCCACAGGGGACAGGCTTAGGGTGCGGGGGAGCCACAGAGGAGAGGTTATACCCAGAGCCCTCTTGCTTTCCACCAGGCCCTGCAACTCAAAACGGCTATGGACCAGGTAAGGGCGTCCCAGGCTCTGGGGACACCCAGAGACGGGGACTGGGCCCTCATCTGCTCCCTGTCTCCACCAGGCTTTGGAGGGGGTGTGAAGCCCCAGAAGCCAGGTGAGTCCTGCTCTGGTCTTCTCTGTATCCATGAACCCCCTGAAGCCAGAGCATCCCCCTACACCCTAACCACTCTCTGGATCTGGGAATGGCTGGGAGGCAGGGCTTCCCAGGGGTCTGGGGGAGAGAGGAGGGCAGGGGGCTGAGTTCCAGGTGCTGGGAGATGGAGAGATGAACTGTGACTGAGAAAGGCACGAAACCTCAGAGGCCCCGTGACGGGGAGAGGTGACCTCCCACCCCTTGCTTTGTCTCTGAGGCTGCCCCAGCTCTGTCCTGCCTCCTCCTGCACCCCTCCAAACACTGCCCCTCATCCCTACCCAGCTTTCCTGTCCCCGCCCCCCAGCACTTACGGCAGCCAGGAACCCAGGGAAGGCAGCCAGGTCTGGGTCCTGCGGGTTGGGAGAAAAGCAGGAGCTGGGGATGCATGGGGAGCATGAAGAGAGGTCTGGCGGGTCCACATCAGCCTCTGCCTCTCCAGGCCTAAGTGGGGGGGCGGTAAATCCCAGAAGCCAGGTGAACCTCACCCCTTCCTGTCTCTCTCCACCTCCCCCAAACCCTGGGCTCCCTGCCACCATTCATGCCCCCTGTCCATCGGTCTCCCCAGGATTCAGGAACGGCAACGGGCTGGGAGGCCAGCCAGGTGAGACTGGTAGGGCCCGGGGGGCGCAAGTCTGGGCGTCCTCTCCCGCCTCTCAGGGCCGGCAGGGCTGGGGACCGTTTAAGAGCAGTGGGGAGGGGGGGCGCCTGGGTGGCTTAGTCGGTTAAGCGTCCGACTTTCGCTTGGGTCATGATCTCGCGGTTTGTGGGTTCGAGCCCCGCGTTGGGCTCTGTGCTGACTGCCAGCTCAGAGCCTGGAGCCTGTTTCAGTCTGTGACTCCCTCTCTCTCTGACCCTCCCCTGCTCACGCTGTCTCTCTCTCTCTCNTCTCTGACCCTCCCCTGCTCACGCTGTCTCTCTCTCTCTCTCCTAGAAATAAATAAAAAATATTTAAAAAAAAAAAAAAAAAAAAAAAGAGCAGTGGGGAGGGGGGTTCCATCTTAGCCCAACCCCGGCCCTTCGCTCACCCCTCTAGTTGCAAGGGGTACAGAGCAGGTGAGGAGAGGAGGGCATGGGGGGCAGAGCTGCTCCTCACCCAGGCCCCATTCGGGGGCAGGGGTCCCGCCAGACTAGGAGAGGGGGGAGCTGACGATTGCATAGCAGTAGCAGGAGGCCGAGGAGGCCCAGGTTTCTGGCTTGGCCCCTGGCCCTTTTCCATGCCTGAGCCTCTCCCGTTCACACAGGCCCTGCAGTTCCCATCAGCTATGGACCAGGTAGGGAGGTGGCACTGGGGCGGACGCCCGGGCTGTGGAGGAGACGCCGGAGATGGCGAGTCGGTGGCTCACCTGGCCCCATCTCTTCTTCAGGCGCTGGTGAGGGCGGGAAGCAGCAGAAGCCAGGTAAAGCCTTTCTCTGCCCCGGCCTGGTGACACTGGGACTTACAGTAAGAAATAACTGGTTGCTCTCCGGTTCTGGCACAGAGCTCCTAAAAGCCTAGGATTTTCCTAAATGCCAAGAGCCTCGGAGGTGTTCTTTTGTTATTTTAACGAGTCACTCGGGGTGGGGGGGCCGGCTGCCAGGGGATCCCACTCTGTGATTGGGTCCCACTTTCAGTCCCACCCTTTGAGGTCTGGGGAGGAGGCCGGCCTGAAGATTGACAGTCGGTGATTTAACCCACCGGGCCTTTGTAAGGAAGCCTCCGTAAAAACCCAAAAGGCCGGGTCGGGAGAGCTTCTGGGTTGGTGACTACACGGAGGTGGGGGAGACTGGGGTGCTTGGAAAAGGTAGAAGCCCCCCAGGTCCCCCCACATGCCCTCAGCATCTCTTCCCTGCGCTGGTCCTGAGCTCTAGCCTTTCTAATAAGCCTGCACTCTAGAAAGTAAAACATTTTTCTGAGTTCTGTGAGCTGCTCTAGCAAATTAGACCCCAAGAGTTCGCTTTCTAGCCAATGGGCAGAAGCACAGGTGACCCCCTGGACTGGGGATGGTTCCTGAAATGGGGGGTGGGGCACTGAGCCCTTAACCTGTGGGATCTGACCCCATCTGCTGACACGTCTGCTGGCACTGGCTTCAGGACTGAGTCACACCCATACCGTCAGACACCCCGCTGGTGTTGGGAGAATTGTTTGGTGCTGGGGGGACACTCCAGAAAGAATTGGGACTGGGGTCAGAATCGGGCCCGCACCCCCCTCTATCCCCAGAAACTGTCCACTCCCCCGACTGCCCCATTCCCCCTCGAGACCTACATCCTGTCTCTCAGTTTACAGGAACGGGCTGGGAGCCAGAGTCTTCCCAGGTGAGGGGGCCCAGCCTGGTGAGGGAGCCAGGGGCAGGCCCCCGAGTGTTGACAGGGGCCAGGGGGGATGGAGGCAGGGGAGGAGGGGGCACAGGGCCCCGTGGGCTGCGGAAGAGAAGGAGCGGGGTGGGGCCCACCTGTCACTCAGCCTGTTTCTGTCTCTCCCCAGGCCTGGGAAGGGGCGTGAGCCTTCTGAAGCCAGGTGAGCCCAGCCCTGCCCCTCCTTGCCCGGGAGTCTGTGCACCCCAGCCCCTGCCCTCATACCTGCCTTTCCTCCCAGGATACGCTCCAGAGCCCGGCCTGCAGCTTCCAGCAGGTGAGTGCAGTGGGGCCTCAGGAGGGGGAGACAGGGCTCCTTCTTAGGAACCTGAGGTCTCAGGCCTCCTGTCTCTCCTGCAGCTCTGGGAGGGGGTCTGAAACCTCCGAAGCCAGGCAAGTGAGAGACCCCCCCCATCTCTATCCTGCACCTCTTCCTGCCTCCTTCCACAACCCTCCCCTACCCCAAAATTACTGCCCCTCACATCCCTGCTTTTTCTCTCCAGGATATGGCAATGGGATTGGGGTGGGGGCGCAGCCAGGTGAGGCTCCCAGGGCGGGGCTGGGGGTGCAGGGAGGTGCACGAGGAGGGAGGACGGAGGGATGTTGCTGGAAGGCAGAGGGTCTGGTGGGCCGACAACAGATGCCATGTTAGATGGCTGGACCACTTTGCCCCCTTAGCACTGCCGGAGCAGGGTTTTTCTGGCCTAGCCAGAGGCCTCCCCTTGAAAGCTGTGTCTGCTCTAGAAGTCACTGAAGGCTGGTGGCTTGGCCAGGCTGAGGCCAGGAGAGCAGCCTGGGATAGGTGCCATCTTGGGCTCACTGCCCTCCCCCCCCCCCCCCCCCCGCCCCATCTAGGACCCTGCAATGGGAGGGTCCCTCCACTGCTGCTCCCCAGGCCTCCCACTTCGGGCCCCAAATCTCAGCCCCCTCCCCCAGGGCAGAATGGCAAGTTCCCAGGTCAGTGTGGAGTGGGGTCTGGGGGGCACCAGGGGACACCTGGTCCCAGGAGGGGCTGGGTCTAGCTGGGCTGCTCACAAGCACCCTGCCCATTCTCCAGCTGAGCCCGAGCCCATCACAGACAACCACCTGCGGGAAAGCCTAAACTCTGGCCCTGAGACCCCATTATGGCAGCCCCACCCCCAGCCCTTGCACCAAGGGCAGGCCACCCACCGCATTCCTGACCCTCCCTGCCCTAAGCTCATTCCTGTCCCTTGGCTTTCTTCCTAGCACCAACTCCGGCCATCCAGTGGGGAATGAAACCTCAGAAAGCAGGTGCAAGTCTGTCTGCCCCGTGCCCGTGCCACTCAGGGTCACTCCATCATCCTTGTGCCCCAGGCTGCCTCAGCTGTTCAAGGCTCCTTAGGGAAAGAAGGTCCCTCCCAGAGTCTAAACGCTCAGTTTCTCTTGCTGCTTTCTAAGCCCATTTCTTCTGGGAGTAACTCTTCCTCCTCTTGAGAGCCCCTAAGGTCCATATTTGGCCTCCAGAGAGTTAGGGGAAATCTGGGTAGTCTCTTCTGATGTCCGTTCTCCTCACAGGATACCAGTCCCCGAATGGCTATGGAGCAGGAAGAGAACTGGGTGAGAAGGCCCTTCCCCTTCCTGCCCCTCCTGTCCCTAACTCAGGAAGAGTGGAGTCAAGAGACTTTGGCTGTCTCTGACCCCGCATCTCTACCCCCCACTTCCTCTCCCCCAGGCTTTGGCGGTGGCCTCAAGCCTCAGAAAGTCGGTGAGCCCTCCCCCGCCCCCACCCCGGTCCCCTGGGTGCAAGCCGATGCCTTCCTACGGCAAGCCCTCCTTGTTCCTGCCTCTTGCCACATCTGACTCTTTCCTGATCTCACCAGTGCACATTTACTCTGCACTAGGCCACAATTATGGCCAGAAGCAGGTGCCACCCTGTCTCTGGTGAGGGCAGAGTGGCAGACTGAGGCACAGTCCTGGGGTGGAAAGGGAAGCTGCCCAGGGCGAGGTCAGGAGAGGTTGCCAGAAGGTGGGACACCTGGGGTAGCACAGGGCTAGCTGGCTGGGGGTGGGGAGAGTGTGTGAGGCCCTCCCTGAGCTGCTTCTGAGTCAGTCTGTCTGTCTGCTGCCTCCTGTCTCTCCATGAGCTGGTTATCCTGGCCCCCTACTCCCAACACTCACCCAGTCTTTCTCCAACTTCTGTCTTGCAGGGTTTGGTTACGGGAATGGTCTGGGAGCTGGGGTCTTCCCCGAGGCGCACCCGCAGCCAGGTGCCTGGGGGTGCCGGGGTGGGGTAGGCTGGGGAGCGCTGGACTCGGGGGCCACTCCTGTCTCTGACCTTCTCCTTCCTTCAGGGTTCCCCACAGCCAATGGCTTTAGGAATGGTGAGTCTGTGGCAGAGTGCAGGTGACGGGGAGGGGAGACCCAGGGGCTGGGCAGGAATCACTCGGATCTCTTGCAGGGTATGGGGAAGAAGCACCAGTGTACCCCAAAGCAGCAGCTCCAGGCCCTGAAGGAAATGGTAGGAAATGAGTGTTTCGGGGGTGAACCCTGGCAAAGGCCATGGGGACGGCGCCAGGTGCGCAGGGGCGTCCGAGGCCCTGGGAGGCCTGCGGCATTCTGGATGTCCTGCCCTGCCGGGGACAGGTGCCCACAGCAGCTCCCCTTCTACAGGTCAGGCCGGGGCCCTCGGGGGCTCTTCTTGGCCCTCCATCCAGCCCTGGGCACTTGCCCTGAAGCCTGGATATGGCGCATACCCAGAGGTCAGGAGCCAGCCAGGTAATGGGAGCTGTGGAAGAGCATTGTGGGGTTGTCCCGGTGGCTGTAGGGAGCTGCGCCCTGGGCCAGGCCCACCCACAGCTCTGGAGAGAGGGAACAGGACAGGCCCGGGGGGATTAGGCAGGAACGGATGGGGCTGGAGGAGAGGCAGGTGGAGTAAGGGACCCTGAGCATGAACCTGGATGAAGTGACAGACTCCAAGTGAGGGTCACTGGGGACTCAGTGCTCCCACCTTCTGTCGTTTCCCCGCAGGAGCATACGGACAGCTGAGGCCAGGGCTAGGCCCTGGACCCTTCGGTGAGTGGCAGTCTCCCAGGGCCTGGGGTGAACCCGGGAGGGCAAGAGGGCTCTGAATTCCTCTGGTGACCTGGTGTCCTGGCTTGTCTGTGCCTCAGGCAGCCCCGAGGTGAAGAGAGGTGGCAGTGGCCCGCTGGGAAATGGCTATGAAGGTGAGAGGCATCACAATGGTCCTGGCCCCCACTCATCCTATGCCACCATTGTTGCCCCTCCAGACTGGCCTGGGGCTGTCGCTGGGACTGTGCCAGCCCTTGAGAGGGATGGCAGCCTCTCAGGTCACCTGGAGGTATCTGCTGAGCAACTGATCTTAGACACCAGAGGAGGAAGAGAGCTCAAGTCCCCTGGGAGGTGAGGAGGGAGGGATCCAGACCTCACCAGGGCCCTGCCTCCTCCCAGGCCACTGTTCCCTTGGAAAATGCTGAGCACCGAGGCCCTTCCACCGCCCATCCTGAGCGCCTCAGAACCACAGCCCGGTGTGGGTGAGGACGACCAGACGCTGGGGCTCGGCTTCTGGCCCGGGGTCTCCCGCGGGCTGAAAGTATCAATAAAGATGACGTGCTTCCCTGTTTGCCTCTCTGTGCCATGGTAGTGGGAATCACTGGCTGCGCTGGGGCGGCCCCGGCCAGCACCTCATTCAACCAACTCGTGAGCGGGACATCACTTTGTCACAGTTGAGCGAGGGGGGCCACCATCAAGTTAGGGGAGGTGTGCATTCTTTTTGTCTAAATTTATAGTCCATTTATTAGGTTTTTTTAATTGTTTTTATTTATTTCTGAGAGAGAGAGACCGCATGAACAGGGGAGGGTCAGAGAGAGAGACACACACAGAATCTGAAGCAGGCTCCAGGCTCTGAGCTGGCTGTCAGCACAGAGCCCGACACAGGGCTCGAACCCACAAATTGTGAGATCATGACCTGAGCTGAAGTTGGACGCTTAGCCCACTGAGGCGCCCCTAAAAATCTTAACCCTTGGCTTGCTTCTCAATGTTATTGTACTGATTAATTTTATAATTTGGATGTAAAACTCACTTCCACATTCTTTGACTGATGCTCAGGTTAAATTATGAATTTGACAGATCTGCCTTCCCCCTGAATATTTAGCATGCCTTACAAACCTGATGACCTCAATTCCCTTATATACTTTGATTTACGCACATAATCTCCTTGATCTACAAATCCAACCAATAACTTCTTCCTAAACTCTTGGAAATGAACAGATCAGACAGTTGATATCTCAGATTACTGAACGCTTTCAAACATCTTAAAAAGCCAGTTACTAATCCAGTATCAGTATTAGTGCTACTGGATTGTCTCTTTTTCTTATCGCACGATTACAAATTTTCTTGCGCAGAAATGCGGAAGCTAAGTACTCTTTTTGCCGGGCTCCAGAATGGAGGCTGCACAACTGGGGATTGACCTGCTATGCCGAACTGAACTTTTACTCAGAGGCAGGCCAGGCCCATCTCTCTGAGCCTCTGGGTCATGACGTTTTCCCCTTCTAAGCCCACACCTCTTGCAACCTGGTGAAGTTTTATCTGGACAATTCGAATTTCATGGGATTTGGCAACTTAGGAGGAATTATCATCTTTTCATGGCCTGATTTCCAAGAATGGGGTGTAGGTACAAACCAAAACTTGACTGCAGTACAAATAAGGCCTAAGGTTGATCAGCTTTTAGGAATTTCTGTAAACACTGGAATTCCAGCTTGATTTTTCTTAGCTAACCTCCTCTGATTTACTCTATTTGGGAATCCTAGACTTTTCCTTTTTCACAGAACTACTAATTTTTTAAAAATACCCAAATGGGGGGGCGGGGGAGGCAACTAGGTGTCTCAGTCAGTTAAGTGTCCAACTTCAACTCAGGTCATGACCTCACAGTTTCTGAGTTCGAGCCCTGCATCGGGCTCTAAGCTGACAGCATGGAGACTGCCTAGGATTCCCCCCCCCCTTCCCCTTCCCCTCCTCATGCTTTCTCTCTCTCTCTCTCTCAAATAAACATTAAAATAAAATATCCAAATAGTCTCCTCTTTCTCTACCCCAAGGTATAGACTAAATCACATCTTTTTACTTGTGTTCGAAAACCACAAGCTAAAAATGGAGCCACTTAGGCCAAGGCCCCAAAGGGGAGCTTGGTACCTTACCTAACTGCAGTTCCAACCTCCCCCAGAAACGTAGTCCTAACCGTCAGCCAGGGATTTTCTGGTCAGCACCACTGAGATAATGTCACATGGGCCCTCACCATCCCACCCAAAGGAAGATGAGGTAATCTACCTACTTCTCCCCCCTCTCCCCTCTAAGAGAAGGTGACCTTGCTGTTACAATATTTTCTTCTGCTAAACTCCTTTGCCTCACCCTCCTTCCTGTAGAACCCGTCCATTCTGCCCAACTCCTTTCAGACCCCTTGTACTGGGTGGATGGGATGGTGTCCAATTCATGAATCGTGTGAAGCCAGTTAGATCTTCAAAATTACTTGGTTGAATTTTTGTTTTTTTAACAGTAACACAGGATTAGAAGCTAACACCTGGGCCCAGGGGCGGCCCAGCAGACTCTCTGTGAAGGGAATGAGACAATCCTAACTCACCTAGGGATGTTTTTAAATATGATTTGCTTTTGTTTATTTTGAGAGAGAGTGAGCACGAGTGGGCGAGGGACAGGGGGAAGAGAGAGAGAATCTCAAGCAGGCTCCATGTTCAGCCAGGACCCATGAAGCTGAGATCATGACTCAAATGAAAAGTCAGTCAATCAACTGAGCCACTCAGGCGCCCTCTATATTCCAGCTTTAAAGAGAGTGACCATCCTCTTTTCTGATTGTCACCCATCTGTCATTCATACCATTTGTTGACAATACCGTAAATGCTACATGTCATCAAATTTCGTTTTTTAAAAAGTTTTAAAATATATTTATTTTGACAGAAAGAGAGAATTTCAAGCCGATTGCGTGGTCAGCACAAAGTTCCGCTCAGAATTCCCATCTCACCACCTGGGGACAGTATGACCTGAGCCAAAATCAAGAGTGAGACGCTTGAACAGCTGAGCCACTAGGCCACCCCTAAATTTTGGGTTTGAATTCTCTTTTCTTCAAGATAATTGAATGGAAATCTGCACTGGTCTTGACCCACGTCCAGGCGCCTCACTCTGGGACCGCTAAGTGCAAACTCCAAATCAGGGGAGCCAGTCTCGCCTCACTGGCCGCCCCGGGGTTGCGGCGGCTCAGCGGCTGCGAAGGCCAGGTGGGGGCGCCAACTGCGCGTGTGCAGCGCCTGGTCTCGGGGTGGGGCCAAGGGCACCGCGGGACACCGTGATTGGTTGAGACCGTGGGCGGGCTGGGAGAAGACGCCGACAGAGAGCGCTGCCGCCTCTGATTGGCTGCCAGGACTAGCTCGTTCCAGCCGGCGGGACGGACGCGAAGGCGGCCAGCGCACTGTCCCGCGATAGGCCGGGCGGCGCCCCGCGCGGTGCGTGGCCGCCCCGGGGGAGGGACGAGGTCGCTGCGGCGCAGCAACTGCCAAACTGGCGGCGCGGCTCCCCCGCTCCCGCTCGACCCCGCGGCTCGTCCGCGCCCGCGCCCACTCGCGGCTGGGCAGGTCCCGCACGTCGCTGTCGCTGACCCCGCCGCCCGTGCCGTCCCTGCCGCACCCGCCGCTGCCGGGCCTGCCGCCCGGCCTGAGCCCCACGCCGCCGCCGCCGCCCTCGGCGCTCGCCCTGGCGGAGCTGCCGCCTCTGCCCGCGCTTCCGCTGCGGCCCGAGCCGCTGGCCCCCTGGGGCCCCGGCGCGCACCTGGCGCTGCCGGAGCTGCCTCCCGAGGCCTGCGTGCCCGCGCCGCCCGCCGCCGCGCTCGCGCTGCAGCACCTGCCGCGCCTGCCCGCGCCCGCGCCGCCGCCCGCGCACCTGCCGCTGCCGCCGCTGCCCGAGGCCGCAGTCGCAGCCACGCCGGGGCCTGTAGGCGCGCGCGGCCGCCCGCCCCTGGTCGCCGAGCCGCCCCCGCCCCCGCTGCCGCCTCTGCCCGCGCGGCCTTCGCCCGCCAACCTGCTGGCGCCGCCCGCGCCCCCCGCCCCCTGGCTGCTGCCCGCCTTCCCCCCGCCGCCGCCGCCGCCGCCGCCGCGGACCCCGCCGCCCTACCTCTTCCTGTCGCCTCCCTGCTGATGGCCTGGCCTTTGCGAGGCCGTGGACCCCGAGGGGCTGCGGGCGGGTGAGTAGGCCGCCCTGCCTGGACACCAGGGCTGGACGCCCTTACCGCCGTCCCCGCTGGCGAATACGGGAAGCGTCGGTCAGAGCCTGGACCCGGGAAGCGCCAGGCAGGGTCAGAAGAGACACCCGGGTTTGGGGTGGAAGGAGCAAGTCTAAAAATAAATTTGTTTTAAGAATAGGGGCTCTGTTCCATTTCCCCTACGGCCCTGCAGCAAGCCTCTTGCCTGGTTATTTGAGAATGTAACTCATCCCTTGTGCAGATAAGTTGGCTGCTTATCACAGCCGGTGGGGATAAGGGGCACACAGCCCTTGGCCTGAGGAAATGGAAACAAGACTTTAAATCGTTCTGACTGGGTTTGCAACATGTCTCATTTTCCCTTATTAAACGAAGGGTTTGGGGCGCCTGGGTGGCTCAGTCGGTTAAGCGTCCGACTTCGGCTCAGGTCATGATCTCGGGGTTCCTGGGTTCGAGCCCCGCGCCGGGCTCTGTGCTGACAGCTCAGAGCCTGGAGCCTGCTTCAGATTCTGTGTCTCCCTCTCTCTCTGCCCCTCCCCTTCTCATTCTCTCTCTCTCTCAGAAATAAAACATTTAAAAAATAAATAAACGAAGGGTTTGGATGCCATCACTAGGGCCCTGACCCTCTGCATGCATGGGGCTTCTGGGAAACTTGCTGCCTTGCAAGTTTTGAGTCAAACGTTCTCTTATTTTTCAAATGTTTGTTTTTGAGAGACAGAGCATGAGGAGGGGAGGGGGAGGGAGAGAGAGGGAGACACAGAGTCGGAAGCAGCTCCAGGCTCTGAGCTGTCAGCAAGAGCCCCACGTGGGGCTTGAACCCACCAACAGTGAAATCATGACCTGAGCTGAAGTCTGATGCTTAGCTGACCCGTCCTTTGGGTCAAACTTTGGACCCCAATAGATGCAAGGCTTCTGCAGGCCTGGGTGCACCAGAATAGCAGTGGTGCTGATGGGCAGCCGATACTGGGCCCTGGAGCAGGGCATCACATGCAAGGGCTGGGTCATCCCCAGGGACAGGAATGCTCCCATGGTGAGTCATGAAAGGAAGCCCCTATTCTCTCCCCGTTTTACTTGCCCTCCCTCCACGCTGCCAGGTCCTCCCCAGCGTGTACAAGAGTTCCCTTTGTTATTCGGGCGGCTTGGGCTCAGGTAACCTGGCAGATGTCCTATCTCAATGGGCTCTTCTACAGCAGCTCAAGAGTGGTATCAGGAAGCCAACTTGACCTTGGGGGACCTCTGAGAGCCTGGAACCCGCTAGCAAGAAAGGGAGTATATGAATTGCCTGTGACTGCTTTAGCAAGTCACCACAAACCGAATGGCTTAAAATAAAAGGAATTTACCATAAGTTCAAAATCAAGGTATGGCAGGAGCCCTGCCAAGGCTCCAGGGAAGGGTCCTTCCTTGCCTCTCCGAGCTGCGGGTGGTCCCTGGTGTTCCTTGGTTTGTGGGCACATCCCTCCGGCCTCAGCCTCTGTCTTCACATGGCCTTATCGTGTGTCTGTGTCTTAAATCTTCCTCTTTTGACACCTGTCATTGGATGTAGGCCCATCATGAATACAGAATGATCTCATCTTGAGGTTTTTAATATTTTAATCACAGCTGCAAAGGCCTTTTTTTTTTTGAGTTTATTTATTTTGAGGGAAAGAGAATTCCAAGCAGGCTCTGTGCAGTCAGCACAGAGCCCGGCATGGGGCTCGATCTCAGGACTGTGAGATCATGACCAGAACCAAAATCAAGAGTTGGACACTTAACCGGCTGAGCCACCCAGGTGCCCCAAGACACTTTTTTCAAATAAGGCCAAATCCAGAGGTTCCAGGACTTAAGACCTGGACATGGTGTTGGGGGCCACCATGCAATCCATACAGGTGACATCGTCTTGCTGGGACGGCTGGCCCACCTCCAGAGCTGTCTTCCCAGCTTCCCTTATACTGTATTTGAAACCCTGTTTCTTGCTTGAGACTTGGTTTCCCTTGGAGTCCTGGGGCAGGAGCCAAAGTCACTGGTACCTTAATAATGACTCCCTTTCCCTTTCCCTGAATTCTGGCCGAGTTCCCGTGCCTGCTGGTTTCTCTCCACCCCCTTCACATCCTGGAGCCCTGCTCTCCCCTCCGCTGAGGATCGGATGGGAAGGACAAGACGGAATGTCCACTCTTTAAGAACACAGCAGTGAGGTGACGAGCAGCCCGTCCCTCAGAACTCCAGATGGATAACCGCTGACCGTTAGGACAGATAATAAAGTTAATTGCTACCCAATCCATGCAGTCCCACCAGGTTTACAAGGGAAACCGCCATGATGCTGTTCACAAAATACTCTCGTCCCAAGTCAGTGCCTACAGTGGTCCCCAGGGTGTGTGGGGTGCTGGCTGCCCGGGCGAATTCTTGTGGTGACCCTGGAGGCGGGCAAGGCAGGTTTCTTCCTTCATTTTACAGCCAGGAGAGCCCCCGGAGTTCACTGCAGTTGTGACTTGCCCATCGAGGTCTGCCCCGAGTTCGTTAAGCTGCCCCCAGCAGGTGATGAGCAACTGGTGCCTTCTCCCGGGACAGACACAGCGAAGGTGCCGCCGCGGGTGGAGGGTGGCTCCGGGGACAATCACACCCAGATGCGGTTCTCCACGCTTCTCCGCAGAGACTTCCCGGCACAGGGTACCTGCAGGAATGGGGAGAGGAGGCAGGGAGGACCTGGGCAGGGTGTGGGTGGGAGGGGGCGGGGGTGCTGCTGTGCTGCCTGGCTCAGCCTCCAGCACTGTGCTCTGGGATAGGAGCTGAGCCTTGGAGTTAGAGTCTGGGCTCCTTCGGGTTTGTCTTGTTTCTCTCAAGTACATGTGGCCAAGTTCTCATACCCCCCTCCCCCCTTGTTTCCAGGTCTGTAAAATGGGGGTAGTCACCCAGCGAGAACGACTATGGGACCTCGGGCTTCATCTGCGCCTTTTTGGTTCAGGGGCCAGTGGATCTGGCCTTTCCACGAACGAAGTCTGGGACCTTGGGCACCTCCCAGAGGTTGATGCTGCCCTTGGAGCCGTACATCCCCCGTGCCCACCCCCCTACTCTTCTTGGCACCAGGATGGCCCTCTGACCTTTAGTTCCCATCTTTGTCTTTGGGCCACACTTTTCCTCCAAAAGCCTGGGGCAGGTTAGGATTGAAGGTAGCCCACCCCCGCCCTTCCCCCATCTAACCCACCTGAGCGGCCCCACCCCGCCGCCCTCCCGGAGAACAATGATCGGGTCCAATTCTATGCCCCCAGAAGCAGTGAGCACTGGAGGCCACCCTCGTGCCTCAGTTTCCCTCCACAGTAGTATATTGGGGCAGTTTTCCCTCCCCCACCTCTTTCTCGGGTGGAGGCGAGGCGGTGGGGGTGGGGATTCCGGTGGCGGACTCGTTAAAGTGCCTTTGAGATGGTAACCAGGCCGAGGGAGTCCCCACCTCTCCATATCAATGGCATTCCGGCCCAGCTACAGTCCCTGCTGGGCCCCAACTTTAACCCTTTGGTTCCCAGATCCAACAGAGTCCGGGTGGACCTGGGGACCCAAGACCAGGCCTGAGTAAGGGCTGACGGTGGGGAGCGCCTTCCTACCAGGGTGCCCCCGGAATCGGAATCGTTCTTGCTGCTCACCCCTCTTGCAGGCGGTTCCCTCCGATCACCTCTGGTTGCCTTTCCCTGTTCTCGGACAGACCGTCCCACTTTTAACCTCCCCAAAAGCCTTGTGGGGGAGGTGCATTGTCTTCTAAAAAGCCAGGAGAGAGACTTAGGTGGGAGGAAGCTGAAGCTACCCTGGACCCCCAACACGGGTCTGGTTCTGTCCGATTGGTCTGGGGATGTCTTCAGCCTCTGAGCACTCACCTCCCATGCGTACGGGGCTTCTCTTTGCCTGACCTTTGACGTGTTGAGCCCAAGGAGAATTGGGGTTTAAAACAATTAGGGTCCTCAGTGCCACCTCCGGGCACATTGTGTGCAGCATCCCCCCCCCCCCCGCCCCCGCCTTCCGGCCATCAGGGGTTTAAAGCTGCCTGTGCAGCTGAGGGGGTCCTTGAGGCCAGGGCTGAATGCAGGCCGACCCGGCTCTCCAGGCAAACCAGCATGAGCAGGTCTCATTAAGTGACTTTCTCCGTTCCTAGAGAGAGGAAGGACCCCAGGCTCGGGCTGCCCAGGATGGAGGTGCGCGGGTGGCTGCTGGGCCCCTCAGATGCCTGGGCCCCTCTGCTACCTGGGCTCGCTGCGGCCTCCTGACACCTGCTTGAACCTGTGTGGCTGGATTCCTCAGGCCCTGAATGCTTGCCTCTATTTGTCCTTCTCAGCCACCCCTCCCCCTCCCCTTCTTACCTGCCACCCCTCCCCCCACACCCTGTGAAATCTAGGGCCCCAGGGCGGGATGAGCTGGACTGACAGCTCCACGATTCCCCAGGCCCATCGCAGCCAGCAGGGGGCTCTGGCCACTTGCACCCCCCAACTGCCCACCGTGTCCACTGGGCCACCAGGTAGGCCCCTCACAGGGGAGACCCTCCCGCCCCCGCCAAGCTGGCCCTGTGGGGAGGCACAGGGTGGAGGAAATCCTCGTCACCAGCATCTACCTTTCAGACCCCACTCATCGGGTGCTGGCCTCAGTCTCCATCTTAGGGGGAGGGGCTCTCAACCTTTTTTTGTTCACTGACCGTTTTGCAAATCTGATGAAAGTATAAACCTCTCTTCTAAAAAGTGCTAAAACCCATTCCCAGAAGAATGCACCCACTGGAAGTTAAAATCCGTTGTAAACGAAGTCCCACTGAACAGGTGAAGAGGCACCTACCTTTTGCCACTGCCAGGTGTGCGTGGGGGCCTCCCAGGTCCCCCCCCCCGTGGCCCTGCCAGCTCCAGCCTGGTCCCAGCACCCCCACCACGGGCGGTCAAGGGGTGCCCTCCCACGGGGCAGACCGGAGACGTGGAGGTGACAGGCCGCTCCAGGTGAGGGCCCAGCGCCACCTTGTAGGGTCCTCCCAGGCCCCAGGAAAGGGGGTGAAGGAAGGAATTTTCATCAGCGGCCCCCACGAGTTCCTAGCACTCTGGAAGAGGCTTGAAGGAGTTCATGGCCAACCCCCCCCCCCAAAACGAGGAGCTCTTGTTAGTGGGTCCCACGAGGTTTCTCACAGGGGTCTTTGTCCTAAGGAGGTTAAGGACCTTGACCTCCTATAATCTGCTCTAGTTGGGGGCAGGATTTGAACTGCAGTCTGTGGCTCCCAGGCTGCTTCCCACAAGAGGAATCACAGGCACTGAGGGAGGGGTCGTCATCCCTGCAGATGGTGAGCAGGGCTCACCTGGGCTTTGTCCCCTCGCCCTCCTCTGTGGTGTCTCCGACCGAGCGGTCACCTAGTCCTCACAGGAGAGACTCGGGTCCTGGGGCTTCACCCCCCATCCAGGGCTCCTGTCTCGGCTGCTCTTACCCCTTCACCCCACAGACCCCTGCATGCCCCTCCCCAACTTCCACAACAGATTCTTTCTTCTTTGCCACTAGAGACCTTCAGCAGCTCAGCTCGGCCCTCAGTTTCAGTATCGGGGGTGGGAAGGGCGCACCTGAGCTGAGGTAGAAGTGGGGGGGGGCGGTTTCTAGGCCGTTGCCTGGGCGATGCCACCTGAGCTGGGCGCCAGGCACCTGTTGCCCAGGGAACAGTGCGGGCGGGGCCCCTCCCTTGGGAGCAGCCAGGGCCACTGGGCTGAGACTGGAGACAGATCGGATTCCTGAAAGTCCCCGGCGGGCAGGGGGACAGGGGCGGGCTTAGGGGTGCACGATACTGGGGGATCTGGGTGTGTTTGCTACAGAAAATGAAACAGGGTCACAGAGAGCAAAGACAACGAGAAGGGGTGGCTGAGGGAGGAAGGCGGCTCAGGAAGGGCCGAACCGGTTACGTTTATTGCCCCTCCCCCGTTCCTTACTCCCCAGCTGGTCCTCAGTCTCCCCTTCCCTTTGGCCCTGTGTTCCCACGGCCCGGATGTTCTTTCCTCCCCCGCTCCTGGTCGCGGCCCCCTCCCCCCCCGCCAGGCTCCCCATCCCACCCCCGCCCCACCTTCTCCCTGTAGCTCCGGCTTCCCCAGTCTCAGCCCTGCTTCCCCTCCCCTGCCTCCGCCTCAAAACCCCGCCTGCATCTGGGAGCCGGCCGAGTCCCCAGCTGACACCCACAGCCGGTGTGCTGCTCGCTGTGAACCTGTGCTGCCTGCTGGAGGGACGAGGCTCTCCTCAGCCTGAAGGTGGGTCAGACGGGCGGCAGCGGGGCCGCCGGGCCGGGCCTGCAGGGTGGCACCTGATGGGCAGCGGGCCCCTCGAAGGGACGCTGCTACTCAGCTGAGCGGGACTGTGAGGCTGCCTTGTGCTTGTCGGGGTTGGATCCGCACCTGTGAGGGGCTCAGAGACGTGCTTTGCAAGAGGCCCACGGATGTGAGGACTGGCCCGGCCCGAGGACACGGACTTCCCCGCGTGCTGGGCGTCGAGACCCCCACCCAGCAGCACCTGGCGCACCCTTGTGAGTCAACCAGGCCGTCTAGGGTTAAGAAGACCTCTGGGGACAGATGGCTTCAGCCGGCCTTGAACTCCTGGGCATGACCCTGGCCGTGCTGGGCTGGCTGGGCACCCTGGTGTCCTGCGCCCTGCCCCTGTGGAAGGTGACCGCCTTCATCGGCAACAGCATCGTGGTGGCCCAGGTGGTGTGGGAGGGGCTGTGGATGTCCTGCGTGGTGCAGAGCACGGGCCAGATGCAGTGCAAGGTGTACGACTCGCTGCTGGCGCTGCCCCAGGACCTGCAGGCTGCCCGCGCCCTCTGCGTCATCGCCCTCCTGCTGGCCCTGCTCGCGCTGCTGGTGGCCATCACGGGGGCCCAGTGCACCACCTGCGTGGAAGACGAAGGTGCCAAGGCCCGCATCGTGCTCACCGCAGGGGCCCTCCTCCTCCTCTCGGGCGTCCTGGTGCTCATCCCCGTCTGCTGGACCGCGCATGCGATCATCCAGGACTTCTACAACCCCCTGGTGGCCGAGGCCCTCAAGCGGGAGCTGGGGGCCTCCCTCTACGTGGGCTGGGCCGCCGCTGCTCTGCTCATGCTGGGTGGGGGGCTGCTCTGCTGCACATGCCCCCCGCCCCAGATCGACCGGCCCCGAGGACCCAGGCTGGGTTACTCCATCCCCTCCCGCTCGGGTGCGTCTGGGCTGGACAAGAGGGACTATGTATGAGGCGGAAAGCCCGCTGCTCAGAGCCTTGACCTTGTGCTGGATGTCTGCGGTAACCCTTGCCCCCAAATGTCTACCCCTTCCCTGGGTGAAACCTGCTTCCCAGAAGCTCCAATCAGGCCTGGCCTGAGCTGGGGCCAGCTGGCCTGAGTCCAGACCCTCTTCACTGGGCGGGGAGGGGTCCCCACAGGCTCTTCCCCTTCCCCCACTCAGGCAGAGCCAGAGCTGATAAGCAGCCGGCCTGTCCCCGCCCCCCCCTCAACATATTGCTTTCTTTGTGGTCCACGACCTAGGCCACCCCTGTCCCAGGAGCCTGGCCTTCACCCAAAGGGCAGCAGCTCCTGGTTTCCACAATGAGGGAATCCCTGCCCTGGAGTGGGTCCCCTCCAGCTGGCCACTACCTGCACCCAGAAGTTCAGGCCCATCACCCCACCCCCTACTCCCACCTGCCAGTCAGTAATAAACAGCATTTGTACCTTGGCCTCTTCTGATCTGTAGTCAGGGAAGACCAGGTGGTCTTTCCTGGGACTGTCAGTCCAGGGTCCGCTCCAGGACCTGTCCGGTGGGTATCTTCACTTGCACAAGGGTAAGAAAGATGAGCCACTTGTGCCCGCCTCCTCCCCATCAGTCAGGCTGGCGCTCAGCAGCCCCCCCAGCAACACCCAAGGCCAGCAACAAAATAAGACAAGCTTTATTAGCAAAAACTGGTGCGTGTGTGTGGGAGGCATGGCAGAGGTGTGCAGGGGCTGAAGGTGAGCGAGAGGGTCCGGGGTCTACAGCCCAGCTGGGGTGGGACTCAGGGTAGAGGAGCCAGAGGTCAGAACACTTGGAGGTAGGTGGTTCTTTGGTAACTTGTCACCTACTCTTCTTGCCCCTGGGGTTTCAGAGCCCTGACCGCTATGGAGGGACTCTTGGGGACAGGCTGAGAGCATCTGAAATGCAGGCAGCCTTCACACTGGCCCACAGCTGCAGGTTGGCCTCCAAGATGGAGATGTCCAGGGTGGAGAAAGACCTAGAAACGGTGAAGCATCACTTCCTTGGCTCCATCATCCAAAGGTGAGAAACACCAGCAGCAGAGCCCAAGAGAGATTGTGAGTTTCTTGGTTAGGTTTACCAAATGAATTTTAAAAATACCACTCCCCCAAAAAAGGAAAAATAACAAAAACAAAAAAAGATTAAAAAAACAACCGCAAAGCTGTCTGGATCACCATCTCCATGTCTCCAGCTCAGGGGGTTAGACTCCACTGTCAAAGGAGTACCCACTGCCCTACCAGAATTAGACATAATTCTTAGTGGGGTATTCAGAGGGACCCTGAGACATGGCATGGGCGGCAGACGCTGAGTATCGGGCCATATAATGGTTTGAGCCCCGGGACCCCCCAGAGGGGCAGGTGCAGCACAGCAGCCCCCCACCCAGCAATAAAAGGCCAGAGGCTGCCCAGCTCAGGTAGAGGGAAGCCCCCAGCTCCCGCTTTTGGGCCTCGGCCACCAGGGGGTTGTAGAAGTCCCGGATGATGGTGTGGGCCGTCCAGCAGACAGGGATAAGGGTCAGGACCCCTGAGATGACAAAGATGATCCCAGAGACGAGCACCAGACGGGCCTTGGAGTCCTTGTCCTCCACGCAGGTGGTGCACTTGGCTCCCGCGAGGTAGACCAGCAGCGCGAGCAGGGCCAGCAGGAGGGCGATGACGCAGAGGGCGCGGGCAGCCTGCAGGTCCTGGGGCAGCGCCAGCAGTGAGTCGTACACCTTGCACTGCATCTGGCCCGTGCTCTGCACCACGCAGGACATCCACAGCCCCTCCCACACCACCTGGGCCACCACGATGCTGTTGCCGATGAAGGCGGTCACCTTCCACAGGGGCAGGGCGCAGGACACCAGGGCATTCACCCAGCCGAGCAGCGCCAGGCTGATGCCCAGGATCTGCAGACCAGCCGAAGCCATGGCAAGGTTGAGGCTGAGCGGAGCTGCACTGGGAGACGGAAGGAGACTGACGTTAGGACAGGCAGGCCCAGGCCCTTCGTTCCCAATGAGTGCTACCTCTTCATGCCACGTGCCGTGGCCACCAGGAGCAGGAACTCTGGGAGTCAGTAAACCAGGGGCAAGGCATACTCGCCGAGTGTCATCTTCTCTTGGGCAAAAGGAACACTTAATGCTTTAGCATCAATTCCCCGCCCAGCTTTGTGACTGCCAATGACTTGCAAGAGTGAGTAAGCAAGTAACCCAGTTCGGCTGTTTTGAGGGCAAATGATACATAAAGCTCACACCAGTGCTAGTCCACGGCCCCAGCCACTTTTTGTACATTTTATTAGACAGCAAAGTAGTAGCAAAAAAATAAAGAGTAATTTGCAGGCCGTTTGCTTGGGGCACACAGATGGTGGGTTGGTGCTAGCCATGAGTTTCAGGTTCAAAACCTGTAAGTTTCAACATCAAGATTAGAGATCCAAGCCTCCTCCCAGCCACCCAACAGCAGTATACAAACTCCTCACCCCAGCCTGGTTCTATACCCTGAGGCAGGCGGTCATGTTTGTGGCTCAGGTGGCCCCCCCTTCCTGGCCTTTCCTGCTCCTGCGTGGCCCGGTCCAGCCCCAGTCAAACCTCAGACAGGCGGGAGAAATGGGGAAAAACAAAAAACAACCCACCCTCTCACCCAAAAGCCTTTCTTCCCCAAGGCTACTGCTGCCTCCCTAGTCGGCTCTTCCGCCCTCCCCTACGGGTTACAAGAGCATACCTCCAAGGCTGAGGACATTTTGTTGTGCGTTCTTGCGCCAAATGCCATCGTCTTAGGACTCAACTTCCCTAAAACGACCTGAAATCCTCGAGGCTGTCCAGTGAACCAGCTCCCCTACCGCAGCCCTGGCCCCCTCACCTGTCTCCCCTCACACCTCACTTTGTGTCGAGGCTCGCTGCGGGGATCACTTCTGATCACGGTCCTGTTCTGGCTCTGCGTCACCCAAAGTTCCCGGGCACAGTTTGGACCTAAACAGCAGCGGTCCCAGCAGTGTGGCCAGAGGACAGGCTGTCCACTCCTCATTCGCATCGCCATCCCCAGCCACACCCGGGCGCGCTAACGACCTCGAGGGAGACCAGACGGGGCGGCCCGGGCGGCCCATTCCCATTCCCACCCAGGGGTTGGGAGGGTAACCCAGCAAGACCTTAGGCGCCTAAGGCTGCCTTCAACCCATTCTCTTTCCGCACACTACAGGCTCGGTTTGGTCCGAGGGCGTCCGCAGCCGCTCTCGACCCCTAGCTCCCTTCTGAATCCAGCCCGAGGAAGGGTCGCCAGGCCCCCAGTCTGGGATGCGCGCTGAGGGGAGGGTTTAATGGCGGCGGGAGCAGCAGGGTCGGCTCCGGTGGGTGAGGGGGAGGGGAGCCCCGCCCCAGAGAGCCGCGCAGGTGGGGGAGGGGCGCCCGGGTTTCGGTGCCTTTGTCCCGGGGGAGGGGGAGGGGCGTTTAACCCTTCCGCGGCTGCAGAAGGACCTGATCAGTTCCGCGGCTTCCGTACAGATCCGCGGCCCCGGTGGCCGCCACCAAATCAGTCCAGGTTGTCTACACGCACGCCCATCCACGCCACCGCGCCCTCTGCACCCCACTCCTCGAGGATTCCGCCTCCTCCCCTCCAGCGCGCGGACTTCCCCCAGGCTCACCTGCAAAGTAGCCCACCGGGATTCGTAGGAGTCGCCGAGTGTGCGGATGGGGGCGGAGGCGGGGGTCTTAAAGAGGCAGTGACGTCACCGGACCACCGCCCCGGGGAGGGGCAGAGACCCCATTCCGGACCGCCGCGGGCTTGAGAATCCCAACCTCGGCAGTCGGGGTTGCTCGAGCCGGGGGCCGCTGCACCCGCGTCCGGCTCGGGGTGCGGGGACCTCAGCTCGCTAACTTCGCGGCGGGTCAGGGCACAGGCCGTGGAGTCAAACGGAGCGTGGCTCTTGGCTCCGCTACTTACGAGCGCTGTGACCCGGGAACTCACCTAACTCTTCCAAGCTCCAGTTTCCTACTAGGTAAAAAGGAGGCAAGAAGCCCACGTTTTACTGTGTAACTACGTCCTAAGGTAGAAATTAAAGCCATGTTATTATTACTTTGTTGTTTTGCTGTTGTTGTTGCTGTTATGTTGCTGTCATCATACCCCGGGGACCTGAAAGCTGCAGCTATCTCTGCGGCGGGCTGTTCGGTGTCTGATTCCCCCAGCGCACTTCTCGCGGACTCCCGCTTCAGAGGGCAGGGCCCGGGCTGCGTCCCTGCGGGGTCCCGGCCTCTCGCGCACGGAGGAGGTGTTTGTTGAGCGAATGACTGAACGTAGCCGCCCGGGCGGGGCGGGGCGTCCAGGAGCCGACCGCGGAGGGCGGGCCGAGCCCAGGGTACCGCCCCGGAAGGCGGGGGCGGGGTGGCTGCTGTCCGCCCCGGCCCGCGCGCCACTGGCACAGACGGCCGCGGCCGCCGGACGCGCACCATGGCTCCCGGCCTGCTGCGTCCGCTGCCGCGGCTCCTCGTGCTGGGGCTCGGGCTGGCGCTGCTGGGCGCCGTGGCCGGGGAGCGAGTGCCAGGTACGCCGGGCGCGGGGCCCGGGCTGTGCGGGAGGCCGGGGGCGAGCCTCCCGCCCGGGATAAGGGAGCCGGCATTGGGGACCCAGAGAACGGGGCCGATCTGGGGGTACTAGGCGGACACGGGGATCCCGGTCAGGTGGTCTCCGGACAGCGGGCTCCTGGCTAGGAGAGATTCATGCCCCTCCGAGCTTCATCCGCAGTCCAGGCCTCAGTTTACCCCCGATCAGCTGGGGCGGGGGTGGGAGTGGGGGGGGCCTCTGTCCTAAAAAGTCCAGACTCCGAAGTGGAGGGAGAAAGAAAGTTTGAGGGCGGGTTGTTCGGTTCTGTGGGAAGGCACGCCCCTAGCCTGTTCAATACCTGGTCTGTCTAGCCCCAGTGACCGAAGAGTCGGGGGGGGGGGATGGTACCGAGGGCACGGGGGTCTGTACCCCCTATACCATGTGGGGTGCCTCCTTCCATCCGGTGACTTCAGTGCCCAACTATGTGGGGGGAGGGACCGGGGTCGGGCCCCGTGCCCAGGAGTGAGTCACCCGCTGGCTGCGGGGGGGGGGCGGCTGGTGTGGGGACCTGACCCCCCCCATAAGCGTCCCGCGCTATGCCCCCCTTTCCCCCGCGCTGCCGAGTCCCGGTCGGGCCGTGCGGTCACCTGTGAGGAATGCGAGGGGAGGGCGCCTGTGACTCACGTTATTCGAGCCGACCGACCCTGACCTCAGCCCCCAGAATAGCCGTGCCCCGCCCCAGCCTCTGACCCGCGGCCCCCTCCCCAGGCACCACCCCCTGCTCTCGCGGCAGCTCCTGGAGCGCGGACCTCGACAAGTGCATGGACTGCGCGTCGTGCCCGGCGCGACCGCACAGCGACTTCTGTCTGGGCTGTGAGTGGGGGGCGGGGCCCAGAGGCGAGCGGACCGCAGACTGGGAGAGAGGGCTGCCCGGGGGGAGGGGGGTGCAGGGCTTCAGAGCCGAGGAATTAATCGGGAAGGAGGATGGGAGGTGGGGTGGGAAAACGGTCGGTTCTGGGCAGGGGCCAAGGTGGTGCGAAGGCTTGAGGCTCCTACCTAGGGGGCGGGGCTGGTACCGAGGGGGGCGAGGTCTGACTTCCCAGAGTTCCGCCCCCAGGCGCTGCATCCCCTCCAGCCTCCTTCCCACTACTCTGGCCCATCTTGGGGGGCGCTCTGAGCCTAGCCCTCGTACTGGGACTGCTTTCTGGCTTCTTGGTCTGGAGACGGTGCCGAAGGAGAGAGAAGTTTACTAGTAAGTGTGCCGGGCCCGCCCGCCCACTCCCGGTCGCTCCTCCACATCGCCCCCGCTCTTGACCACCCCTCTTCTTATTTTGCAGCCCCCATTGAGGAGACCGGCGGGGAGGGCTGTCCTGGAGTGGCACTGATCCAGTGACAGTGAGAGCCCCTGCCAGCAGGAGGCCCCACCCACTCATCATTCATCCATTCATTCATTCATTTTGGAGCCAGCCCCTCAGCCGGGACACAGCCAGAGCCAGACTCTTCCAACCACAGGGGTGTGGAGGGATGGGGGACTGGTGAATCACCTCTCCGAGGCCTGGGCCCAAGCTTCCGAGGAGGCTTCCAAGGTGTCTGACTGCCCTGGCTCTGGCTCCAGGACAGGAAAGGAGACCCATGCTGGGTCACACCAGACAGCTGACGCTGAGGAACCGCAGCATTTGCACAAAGGGTCCCTCCCTCCACCCCCAGAGCCTGAGGGCCAGGCCCCACCAACTCAGATGTACTGAAATTCCACCACAGGGTCTCTGGGGGGTTAGGGACCTGTTGCTAACACTAGGGGGCTGGCCCTCTAGGGGGGGCTGGCCCTAAGACACTGTCCCCCCCACCCCCGAAGAGGGGGGGAATATTTATTTTGGGGAGAGAGTTTGGAGGGGAGGGAGAATTTATTAATAAAAGAATCTATAACTTTAAATGGTTCGGAGAGTGGCATGATCCCCAGCCCCGACTTCCCAGAGCTGGAGGGAGGAGTGAGTCAGCCGCGGGGGCGGGGGTGAGGCTCTGACTCACACATTCTCAATGCCTGAGCCCAGCCTGCCAGGACCTGGCCGGGCCGTGACCGTTTTTCCAGGGAAGATTTCGAGAAACCCTTAGCATCCAGCACCCCAGCCTTCCCACCTTCCTTCCCAAAGGGCCCAGGGTTCCAGACTGAAGCCTTCACTTGCTCAGCAATCTTTATTCGGTTCTCCTGAGAGGAATGCCTCCCTTCCCATGCTCCTGTCCCCCCGCTGGCCCTCCCACCCCCGGGCTCGGTGGGGTTCAGTGTCCTCAGGCGGGGGTGGGTCCGGTGGCCCGGCGGCCTGGTCTGGAGAATAAGCAGGACAGCTGGTCCCTGGTGGGGATGCGGGTCTTCTCGGTTGCGAGGAAGACGGAAGATGGGCAGGGACATTCCCACCAGCACTCAGAGCTCCATTATCTCCCCAGCGGGGCTCGCAGGGTAGTGGGGGGCGGGGGCGTCCCCTAGCCTCAGCAGCCGGAGTGCCTCGGGGATCAGGTTCCCAGGGTAGCGCCAGAGAAGCAGCTCAGAGCAAGGGCTCCTGGAAAAGGAAATAGCAGCACGGGGATGAGGCTGGTCTGGGAGAACCACCTCCCACCAGGTCCAGGTCCCCAGGAGCTTGTGAGCTGCCAGCACCTTCCAAGGAGCCAAGATGGGAAACAACAGAGGTTGTTGGCTAGAAGCTAAAAATAGCAGGATGAGGCAGGGCCTAGAGATTGGCTCCAAAGACCGGGTGTGATCCTCCAGAAGGCCTAGGCGGTGCACGGTGGATGGTGCCTACCTTTGTGGGGGCAGAGATGGCAAAGCCATGGGGGGGCTGCAGTACGGGTGGTCATTGTGTAGGCTGAGGCGAGAGAAGTGGGTGGCCATGTTCTCTTCAGAAAGGAACTGTTTGCGCAGGGGCTCCCTGGGGAGAGACGGGGAGACAGGCAGGCTGGGATATTCACAGGAGCAGCAGTCTGATGGGGACCTAAGATGACAGAGGTCATGTTGGGAGTCCCTCCCTGCCCCCAAACTCACTGCTCCTCCTCCAGGCGCCGCTTGGTGCTCATGGGCACAGCTCCTCGGAGAGGGGAGCTGGGAAAAAAAGAAAGCCAGGTGCACCCCACCCTCCTGGCCCCATCGCCAGGATCTGCTCTGCTGTGCCTGCAGTGTAAGCCAGGAGCCCCCAGCCCACCTCTGTCTCGGCTGACACCTAAGTCACCCCCTGTCCCAGGCCATCCAGCAGCCTGCCTCAGAACTCTCAGCCCCAGTCTCAGCTCACGCCCAAGCCCTGACGACTCGTCCCACCGCCTGTCATCCTGCAGACCAGTCCTGAGACTCCAGCCAAAGCTCCTGAGCCCCTGGGCCTGGCCCACCCAGTGCCCCTACACACACCTCATGTCCTGGCCTCGGGGCGTCCCCGACGCGGCCCGTGGGTCGCGCTGGGCCCGACCTGGGGGGCCTCGCTCCAGGGGCTGCTGTAGGATCATTTGGGTTCGGGGTCCTGCGGGCGGAGGGTGGGATCCGGGCGACAGGGCGGAGCCTCAGAGGGCGTGGTCCAGCACGAGGGGCGTGGCTTTAGGCGCGCGCAGCGGCAAGGTTCCGCGCAGGCGCGGAGGACGAGCGACGCGCTGTTGGAAGGCGGGTCGGCTCAGCGGGGTGGGGGAGGGGACCTGGCGTAGCGGGGCTGCTGTGGGCGCCACTTAAGTGTTGGCGATCTTCGTGGCGGTCTCTGGGCTCCTGGGGCTCGGGGTAATACGCGGCGGCCGCCTTCGCGCCGGGCCGGCGAACGGGGTTGAAGCTGTGCTACGCCGCGAGGGGGAACCGCTCGCGGGGACGTCCGGACTCGTGGAGCTGCGTCGCGCGGAGCGCTCTGGGATTTGTAGTTCTCGAGATGGAGCGAGCTATGCCACACGCAGTACCTCTGGGTCAGGTGAGGCGGACGCGATGCGCGGTGCCTTCTGGGGTGTGTAGTCCATACCCAGTTCGGAAGGGGCAGGCAAGGCGTGGTGCCCATAGCCCTGTTTTGCGCACGATTCAGACCCAGGGTTGAGAGGGTAACCCAGCAAGGCCTTAGGCGCCTAACATTAAAGTCAGAGAGTTGTGATGGGCGCCTGACTGGCGCAGTCGGTCAAGCATCCCACTTGCGCTCAGGTTGTGATCTCAGAGGTTGTTGGTGAGTTCAAGCCCCGCGTCAGGCTTTATGCTGACAGCTCAGAGCCTGGAGCGTGCTTCGGATTCTGTGTCTCCCTCTCTCTCTGCTCTTACTCCTCTCGTGCTCTGTCTCTCTCTCAAAAATAAACATTAAAAAAAAGAAAAAAGAGGAGCGCCTGGGTGGCTTAGTCGGTTAAGCGTCCGACTTTCGCTTAGGTCATGATCTCGTGGTTCGTGGGTTCGAGCCCCCTCGAGCTCTGTGCTGAGGGCTCAGAGCATGGAGCCTATTTCCGATTCTGTATCTCCCTCTCTCTCTGACCCTCCCCTGGTCACGCTGTCTCTCCCTCTCTCCCTCTCCCTCTCCCTCTCTCTTCCCCCTAGAAATAGGAAGGAAGGGAGGGAGGGAGGGAGGGAAAGGAAAGGAAAGGAAGAAAAAGAAAGAAAAAGAAAGAAAGAAAGAGAAAGAGAAAGAAAAAGAAAGGAAGGAAGGAAGAAAGAAAGAAAGAAGAAAGTCAGAGGGTAGGGATTAGAAACCAGTATGTTTTTCTGTGTTGGGACAATGGAGCCACTTTTTAAGTGCTTTTAATGAGGCAGCGCTATGCGAAGCTGTAGATGCGGTAGCTCAGACCGTTGTGACGTCTCCCGTGAGCTCCATTTGACAGTTGAGGAACCTTGGAAGCCACGCTGGGTGCTTACTCAAGGTACTGGTAGACGTCCCCCCTCGACTGCACACTTGCTCATCCTCTTGGAGCAGCCCCTGGGAGTATATGGGCAGGCGCCCACCTGTGACCCGCCTCAGAGGGTTCAGAAATCTGGGCAGTGGGAGGCCGGCAGGTGGCAGGAGCAGCAGGAAGGAGTTGGAGTCACAGGCCTTCGTGTCCCAGGGGGCCTTCATCCAGCCTCTCTCTGCAGATGGAAGTGTTTCAGGCGCTGCAGCGGCTGCACATGACCATTTTCTCCCAGAGTGTCTCACCCTGCGGGAAGTTCCTGGCAGCGGGCAACAATTATGGGCAGATAGCCATCTTCAGGTACTCTCACCCCCGCTTCCACCACCCGGATGCTCTAGCACTTGTACCCCCCAAGACTGGTGCCCCCTGCCTCTGACCCTCAGGCCCCCTCCCCCTCCCTTCAGTCTGTCTGCGGCTTTGAGCTCCGAGGCCAAAGAGGAAAGTAAGAAGCCCGTGGTGACATTCCAAGGTGGGTGCGGCCATTGAGTCTGGCTTAGAGAACCCCCGGGATGGAGGAGGGGAACGGGACCGTGTCACTCACGGTCTGCATTTCCATCTAGCCCACGAGGGGCCCGTCTACTGCATGGTCTCCACTGATCGACATCTGCTCAGTGCTGGGGATGGGGAGGTGAAGGCCTGGCTCTGGGCAGAGATCCTCAAGAAGGTAAGGAGTGTGGAGCTGGGGAAAGGGCTGCGTTGCCCACTCCCAGAGAGCCTTTGACATCTTACAGTGTTTCCCTCCATGAAGGGCTGTAAGGAGCTGTGGCGGCGGCAGCCTCCATACAGGTGAGCTAGGGCCGCGTGGGCAGAAGGTACTTGGGGGCCAAGGTTCTGCCTCACCAGAGCTGACCTCGCTTTCTCTCTCGCAGGACCAGCCTAGAAGTGCCCGAGATCAATGCTTTGCTCCTCGTCCCCAAGGTCTGAGCCCTTTGTGACTGCAGCCCTACCTTGCCCTGTTCTCAGCCCAGACTTTAAGCCTTTTCCCTCTCCCTGTCCTGATCCAACTTGGACTTGCAATTGCCCCCCTGCCTTCTTCTGCAGGAGAATTCTCTCATCCTGGCAGGGGGAGACTGTCAGTTGCACACCATGGACCTCGAGACTGGGACCTTCACAGTGAGCGGGCCAGGGAGCTGGGGTGGTCAGGGCTGGATGGTAGTCGGGCTGCTCTTCCTGGATCTCCTGACACTGGGCCTCTCCCTGCAGCGGGCCCTGCGGGGCCACACAGACTATATCCACTGCCTGGCGCTACGGGAGCGGAGCCCTGAGGTATTGTCAGGTGGTGAGGATGGAGCCGTGCGACTTTGGGGTAAGTTAGTGTCAGGTGGGAGGGACAGATGGGGGCTAGCAGGGTGTTTCTCAGCAGGGTGTTTTCATAGTCTTCCCCCACAGATCTCCGCTCAGCCAAGGAAGTCCAGACCATCGAGGTTTATAAGCATGAGGTGAGGGCACGCCCCACGCCCTGTCCTCCGCCCCCCCCCCCCGGGCATCCCATGTGTCTTCATCTCCTCCTCCCTTCTCCCCCCTCCTAGGAGTGCTCCAGGCCCCACAATGGGCGTTGGATCGGATGTTTGGCAACTGACTCAGACTGGATGGTGAGCAGGGCAAAGTCCAGAAGGGGGTGACAGCTCCGGGCCCTGCCAGCAGAGGGCCTATGGCTCACAGTGGCTGGGGCCACCCGCCCCCCCCTTCTGCTCAGGTCTGTGGAGGAGGCCCGGCACTCACCCTCTGGCACCTGCGATCCTCCACACCCACCACCGTTTTCCCCATGCGGGCGCCACAGAAACACGTCACCTTCTACCAGGACCTGGTGAGGCCCTCTGTCTTGCTTCTGCCACCTGTGCCCGGTTCCCCTCTCCCATCCTGACCCCCGCCCGACTCCCCTCGCTGCCCTCCACAGATTCTGTCAGCGGGCCAGGGCCGCTGCGTCAACCAGTGGCAGCTGAGTGGGGAGCTCAAGGCCCAGGTGCCTGGCTCCTCCCCAGGGCTGCTCAGCCTTAGTCTCAACCAGCAGCCCGCAGCA